GGGGGGGGGTTTTCGAGACAGGGTTTCTCTGTGTAGTTTTGGTGCCTGTCCTGGATCTCACTCTGTAGAGCAGGCTGGCCTCGAACTCACAGAGATCCGCCTGCCTCTGCCTCCCAAGTGCTGGGACTAAAGGCGTGCACCACCACCGCCCGGCTAATTTCTGACTTTTAACTGGAACATTTTGTTTATTTACATTCAATAAAAATATGATAAATGTAGTCTTAAATCTACCATTCTAAGGGCTACAGAGATGGCTCAGCCAGTATTGCTATTGTTGAGGACCCAATTCTGTTCCTACCTACACAGGTGGCTCATAACTGCTTGTAATTCCATTTCCAGGGTATCTGAAGCATGTGCACATACCCAAAGACACACTCATAATTAAAATAAAAAAATATCTTAAGACAAAACCCCCAAACCTATCATCCTATATGCTTTCTATTCTATTTGTCTGGCTGTTCCCAGGTTGCTCTAGAACTTTCTATGTAGCCAAGGATAATCTTGAACTTCTGATCCTCCTGCCTCTACCTCCAAGGTTGGGATTACAAGCTTGCAGTACCAAGCCCAGTTTATGTGGTGCTGGGGATTGAACCCAGTGCTTCATGCAAACTAGGCTAGTGCTCTATAGATGAGCTACATCCCCATCTTAGTTACACCATTTCCCATCTTCTGAAAAGTCCTCAGTAGGTAGATACCTTCAATTTCTTTATATTTTATGTATATAACTGTTTTGCCTAAATATGTATCTGTGCCTGATGCCAATGGAGGCCAGAAGAGACATTAGATCCCCTGGGACTGGAGTTATAGAGGGCTGAAAGCTGCCACATGGGAGCTGAGAATTGAACCAGGTTTCTAGAAGAGCAGCCAGTGCTCTTAACTACTGAGCCATCTCTCTAGCCATTGGATAGGTGTCTTTTTTTTGTCGTTTTGTTTTTTCGAGACAGGTTTCTCTGTGTATAGTTCTGGCTCTCCTGGAACTTGCTCTATAGACCAGGCTGGCCTTGAATTTAGAGATCTGCCCATCTCTGACTCCCCAAGTGTGTGCCACCACCTCCTTACTGGGTAGGTGCCTTTTTAAATCTTGTTTTCCACTCTGTATTTTATTAACACTCCCTTATCTCTAACAGCATTGCTCCTTACTTTTATAAGATCTCTATCTGCTTGAACATAGTGAATGTTGTTCAACCCACATAATCAATACTCACAGAGGCAATCCAGTGTAGCATACTCTAGCACTTCTTTTGCTATGTAGATCCCTGTGCAAAATTGAATAGCTTAGCTAGACTGACTTGGATCTGGTGGTTAAGCAAGCTTATAATCTTTTTTAAAAATTTTAAAACATATTGGATAGCTTCCAGGTTGATTTAAATGTTAAGACATTTAGAAATATCTCCAGGGCCAGTGAAATGGCTCAGTGTGTAAAGGTGCTTGCTGCCAAACCTGACGACCTAAGTTCAATCCCTAGTACCCACCATTAAAGGAGAGAGACCTGAAGCCGGGCGGTGGTGGCGCACGCCTTTAATCCCAGCACTCGGGAGGCAGAGCCAGGCGGATCTCTGTGAGTTCGAGGCCAGCCTGGGCTACCAAGTGAGTCCCAGGAAAGGCGCAAAGCTGCACAGAGAAACCCTGTCTCGAAAAACCAAAAAAAAAAAAAAAAAAAAGGAGAGACCTGAAACCCACTATGTGTCCACCTCTCCATAAAATTGTAAAAGAAACAAAACAAACAAACAAAACAACAACAACAACAGAAACAAAAATTCGCCCAGTTTGGTTCAAATAATGTTAAGGTCTTATTTTGAAATATTACTCCCAGAGCTGGGTGTGGTATGCATGCCTATAATCTCACTTAGCACTAGGGAGGCTGAGGCAGGAGGATTGTGCAGGCTGGTTTGGGCTACACAGTGAAGTCCTATCTTAAGAAAAAGAAATACAATGCCCCTACTTGTTTTTAATTATAATTTAGGGTATATTTTATTTATTTACTGGCTGGCCTGGAACTCACTATGTAGACCAGGCTGGCCTCAAACTCACAGAAACCTATCTCCTCCTGTGTGGTGGTTGAAAGAAAATGGCCCTCACAGAGAATGGCATTAGTAGGAGGTATGGTACTGTTGGAGGAAATGTGTCACTGGGGTTGGGGGGGCAGGCTTTGAGGTCTCATATATGCTCAAGCTATACCCACTCTGACACACAGCTGCTTGTGCTCTTGCAGATCAAGATGTAGACCTCTCAGCTTCTTCTCCAGCACGATGTCTGTCTGAATGCTGTCACTGCCACCTACCATGACGATACTGTAAGCTAGCCTCAATTAATATTTTCTTTTATAAGTGTTGCTATGGTCATAGTGTCTCTTCATAGCAACAGAAAACCCTAATTAAGACACCCTACCTCCCAAGTACTGGGATTAAAGGCTAATTTAGGCTAATAACCTGGATAACATGTACTTATACAGGCCATCACGTGATGAGTGGCCATGTCAGAGGAGCAGCAGGTGGCAACTGACTCCAGGAGATTGGCCCACCAGAATGCAAGTCACTGGGGCTGAATCTCGGATAGGCAAGGAGCTTTGTCTCTGGAATGTCTCTTGCTACTGCTGTGCCTTTACATGTTTGCCACTGCCATCTTTCTCTGGTATCTGGCGTGGTGTGATTGGGTGTTAGGGGAATCCTCCCTGCCTTTAATGTAGTGTGATTATCTCATGGAAATATCCTACTCTACTGGGCATTTTTACCTGTGGATTATTATGAAGATGATTTCTTGTTAAGCTGTACTGTTTAAAGTGTTGCCCCTGCCCCTGATAAAGTGAGGTCTACGCAGAATAGAAAATAAGAACAAGGAAGTGTCACACAGCTAGGTCTTACAAGTTTTTCTTGAAGAGCTGTTTAGGTTAATGATTAAGGAAAACAATCGAGTCCCAGGAGTTAGCTCAAGTTCTTTTTGATATTGGGTAAGGTGTTTATGGGTTTCGGTGTGCATCATAGCTAAAACAAAGCTTTTTAAAAATGACTTAAGGTTAGGTTAAGATTTTTTTTTCTTTCTTTCCGGAGCTGAGGACCAAACGCAGGGCCTTGCTAGCAAGCGCTCTACCACTGAGCTAAATCCCCAACCCCAGGTTAAGATGGTTTTGTTAACAGCTTTGAGATTGAAAAATTCTCAGGGAACAATTTAAAGTTCAGAAAGGCACACATTCAAAGGGTGAGTGAGGGACTCACTGATGTCAGGGAACCAAACAATGACTGCCTGGCCATTGCTGGCTGACATACCTTTCTTGCTCTGGATGGGTTGGTGATCAAAGGTGATGATTAATTCCTGCACCCATTTCTGCCCTCAGCTTCCTGACATAAAAACTGTAGATGAGTGGGTATGTACCCGAGGATTTAAAGTAGAGCTGATTGTCTTGCATATGTAAAAGTTTAGATGTATGATTCTTTTAAGATTTTTTAATAAGATTACCTTTTAAATAATAAATAATAAAGTAATTGATCTTTTCTTTGTAACCACAAAATGCAGCCTGCCAGTAAAAGAACTAGCTGAGAAAAATACCTTGCTTGCTTACCCTCTGTTAATCTATAACACATTGCTTAGACATGAATGTATGCGGGTTCTTGGGAAGAATTTGTTTTTCACCTGTAATACATAAAATGTTTAATCATAAGGGAAATACAAGTAAAAAACAACGTGTAATCATTGTAATCATTCACTTAAAAAATAGTATGTAACCACATTGTAACTTTCATATTGCTTGAAAGATTCTGCTGGGGTAAATAAGCTGTAAGGGGAAAAAACAAAAACCCAGAAGAGACACATCTGGGTAGAGGTAAGAAAACAAAGAGATGAGAAGGAGATGATAGAAAGATCCTGAAGGTAGTGTATGTGTGTGTCTCCCTTTTTCGCCAGCCCCTGATAGTTAAGTTTTGCTCTGCTCGATGGCCTCAGAGAATTTTAACTTTTACTGCCTCAGATAGAAAAGTCAAACTGAGTGACGAATCTGCCGATTCATGGCTGCTCTTTCATTTCCTGAGCTGCTGAAGGCTCTTTACGGCAGTTCTCTTCAAAGTGCTTTATACATATTACATCCATGTAAGTGACACATACATTCTGCTTTCACCGGAATGCAGGTGTAAGATTATACCGATTTTACTGGTAAAGGAGCTGAGATGACTGCCATGCTGAGAGAGATGATCTTACTGGTGAGGTGCAGGGTTGATGGGAAGCCTGGACTATGTAAACGGCTGTTCAATACCTTAGGAGTGAGGAATACTGACTGAAGCCATGTGCCTGTGTTCCTTAGGTTTCTCTTGCACTCCCTCAGCACTAAATGAGCCCCATTTCTTTCTACTTACCAAAAAACATACAGGAAAGCTGGGTGTGGTGGATCTTGCCTGTGATCCCAAACTTGGAGGACTGAGGCAGAAGGATTACCATGAGTGTGAGGCTATACTAGGTTACAGAGAGAGATCCTTTCTCAACACTCCCACAGGGAAAACAAAATAAACACTAACACGGAAAAGGTCATTTTTGGTTTACTCCAGAGTGAATAGGAAACGGTACAGCAATGGCCTTGCATATATCTTACAGGCTGTAGAAAATGGTCAGACTATGCCCTGGACCATAGTAACCAAACCATTCATGATAATGTGACAGTATCCTGGCACTAGGTTGGCTTCCTTTGCTTTTGAAGCACTTGAACTAACCCAATTCTCAGAAGACCAAATGATTCAGATTAGGACAAGCCAGCTGCCATAAGCCAGACCCAGCCTTGTGAATAAACCAGGAGACTTACAGCTCACTGAGCTTTAATTCAGCAAACTCAGTCCAGGGGAACAGTCCACCCAGTGGCATCTCACAGATGGGATCTGCCTCATCTTACAGAGCTTCCCCAGTAACCAACGCACTCCATTTTCATTGCACAGTGAAAAACTCCTGCTTGCTAAACAGGATGGTTTGAAACAAATCATTGCTGAGCTCTGAGGCCACAGAGGAACAGAACTACTCCTTACCCTTCTTTCCCTCGGTTATGGATAGCCAGTTCTTCACCAATCCCTTCTTCCTCCTTGAAGCTCTCCCAGTCCAGTTTAGACTTCTCAAGGGTGCTCATTTTCTGTTTTTTTGCTCCAATTTTCCCCAAAAGGCTGCTCATGCCACTTGACCTTTTTATCCTATGGAAAGAAAAAAAAATGAATATAAGAACACTGGTCTCTGGATTAACTGTTTGTTTGTTTGTTTGTTTTGGTGGTCCCAGGATTCCCTAGATTGGAGCCATTTGTCTCAATGGAAGCTTGTACTTAGGGCATTTTCTTTTCTATGTGGAAACTGTAGGCAGGGTAGAATCCTAATCCGCCTTTCCTGCCTAACACACATGACTGCTCAGCTGCACAGCTGACAGGAAGCCCTCAGCCCTCAGACCTCTGTGTGTGAGGCAAGTCTCTGCTTGCAGGGAGGGAGGAGGACGGTGGGGTTCAGACAAGGCTTTGGAGTCACATGCATAGGTCCAAATTCTAGCTCTGTTCCAATGACTCAAGGCTAATTGTTCAAGTACATGTGTCTCGATTTCCCAATCTACACTGAATGCTTACTCATGGATGGTGGGAACTGTTCATATAAAGGACCAAAACAGCATCCGGCATAGGGGTCAAGGTGCAGTTAACTGTTGGCCACTGTGAATCACTGTCCTTACTTGTGTTCTGAAGCCCCAGGGGACTATTTCACAGAGTAAGAACCAGGGCCTACTACATACAAGCAAGAAGTCATAGCACTGTAACAGGGCCTTTTAAAGGCAACTGCCTTTCAACTCCTGGAAACGGGGCCTGGTTTTTTCCCAGGAGGTAGAGAACATCCCAAAGCAGAGAATGTACAGCCTGTGCTCTACTTGCCAGTGATGCTATCTATCATGTGCTGTGGGAGAAACCCCAAATGCCAAATTCGAGTCTCGGCAGGTTGATGTTTCTAGTCAACGTTACATGAATGAGACAAGGCAAACAGGAGGCAACCAGAGTTCATAAGAAGGTGATACGAGGGAGGAAACTATAGAAAGAACATGGGTTTAAAAAACATTATTTTTTTGTGGGTGGGGGGCAGGGATGTGCAGATCAAAGGTCAACTTTGTGGTGTTGATTCTCTCCCTCCACCTTTATCTGGGCATTGATGCCAGGCTTGTAGACTTGGACTGTCAGGTGCCAAGGGCCTTTACCCACCAAGCCATCTTGCCAGCCTGCTTTGGGCTTTATAAAATTAAAATGAATTCTCTGCTGGAGGAAACTGGAGGTTATTTTCTGCTTCACAGAGATAGGCAAGAGTTGAAATATGCAGGCAGCGCAGGCTGGCCCTGCAATGCTTACTCTCCCAGTGCCTTCTCAGCTTCCTTCCCATCTGACTTGCATTTGGCCTATGGGTGTAGATAACCTCAGGTTTAATGCCGAAGGGAATCGTTTCTGAGTCGACCTATTATCATTCCAACCTAATACGAAACCATGGACTGTGGGCTATTTGTGCCCTAGGATAGGTCAACAGGTTAGTGCCCACACCAAAAACATAAGACTCGGGAGTGGTACAAACATTCTTATTCTGATAACACTGATACAGAGGATGTCAGGCTAGTTCATTCCCCTACACACTGGGCTTATTCATTATTAAGATCAATTGGATAAATAAGCAAAATTAAGAGAGGTTAAACAAAAATACAACGAAGGCCAAACCAACAGAAAATGCAGATATGGGACAAAATGAGGCCTCAGGACTTGAGTGTTTCCAAGATGAGAAGCTGCTTAAGAGTTTTCTGAGATCTACTTTGCTTAAGATAATTCTAAATGGGATCTAATGCACTGTATACATATATGAAAGGACCCTGGTCCTTTTTTTTTTTTTCGTTTTTCGAGACAGGGTTTCTCTGTGTAGCTTTGCGCCTTTCCTGGGACTCGCTTGGTAGCCCAGGCTGGCCTCGAACTCACAGAGATCCACCTGGCTCTGCCTCCCGAGTGGACCCTGGTCCTTTTTGTGTGGTAGTACTAAGCAATGATCATAAGAAAATTCAACTACAAGGTATACCCTCCTGTTAAGGAAACAGATATTACATGTGTCTTCTCTGCTCTGTGTCTCAGCAGGGACTTTGACTCATTGCTCTCTGTAGGAAGAGTCCTACTGCTGTTCATCCTCGGTTATGATCTAGGCTACTGTCTATTTACAAGGTCTGGAAAGGAACTGAGGAAGAGGCCCCTATTGAAGAGGTTGGCAGAATGTGCCAATGAGGTTCGAGGATGTACAAGACATTCCTTCCCTGTGAACTTTAACAGCAATTCCAATAACTAGGCACCCACAGGAGAGTTCTTGGTTTGAAAAGGGATTTAAAGTCATCTTTTTTCATCCATCAATTATAGTCATTCAACAGAGATAGCAGCTCCATTGTGCTTGAAATTAGGAACACACATACACACACACACACAAAAAGCTACAAGGTCTGATCTTTGGCTATGAGGAGAAAAAAAAATCTAGTAAATAGGGTAACAAATAGGCAAACTGTGACCATTTACTAGAAGACTCTAAAGAGGAAGTCGCTGAGGGGCTGTTTAATATAACCTTAATCCACACATTTGTTAACCACACCGCACTGTAAGGGAACAAACCTGTTACAGTCCACAGTGGCGGACCTGGAGCTAGTTCAGTGCTCCTCACACCAGCTGCTCGCTTCTCCTGTGCATGACCCCACAGTCTGGGACACAAATCCCGTATCTGTTTGTACACTCCCATTTCTACTATTGCTCAGTTGGGGGAGGAAGAAAGGTCCACTTTCCCTGCTGTCCTGGAGCTCATCCATGCCTTACTCATTCCTTTTTCTCTGTTGAGACACGGTCTCACTATGTAGGCCAGCTGGCCTGGAACTTGCTATGTACACACAGCTGACCTAGAACTCAAGAGATCTACCTGTCTGTGCTAGGATTCAAGGCGTGAGCCACCACACTCTGCTGTCTTACTCACTCTGTCTCACCCACACTGAAGCAAAAGCTTACTCACGGCATAAGATTTTTAGACTTTTAATTGAACAAGTCCCCGATTTGACAGCACAGTTACTCAAAAGTTAACTATTACTCAAAGTTACTCAAAGGAAAAAAAAATCCCCTCCTCATAACAAAAAGACTCAACTGTGCTTGAACTGATAGACAGAAAATCAATCCAAGTGGACCAGCAAGCACAGCACATGTCTGGAGCATTAGTGAGCTCTCCTTAGAATATTTACAGAGCTGGGCTCAAGTCTACACTTCACATCAAAACTGGCAGAACCACTAACGTGCCAATCATCTGCAGCAGACTCTTTGGCAGAGAGCTGCCTGTCCCTTAGTGTCTGTCCTCTGTTTACAAGGGAGGGGCACATACATGAACTACTTTCCAGGGCTGGGTGTAGGCCTGGCACCTTGTAGGAATGTGAGGAAAGCTCAACCTGAGAACTCCCTGTTGCAGGCTTGGAGCTGCTCTTCCTCTGGGTTTTCCCTAGATTAGCTGAAAGCTCTAAGAATGAAAAGTACAATCCAAATCTCTGACGGCTGATTTCACTACCCACCTGTTAACTACTCTCCCCAAAGTCCCATCAGAGCAGAGCACTCAAGGAAAGGACTAAAGCCAGCAGTGACAAACCCATCTCAACACGGAACCTGAAGGCAGAAACCCCTATGAAGAAGTCCTAATGACCATCTTGTGGGTTTAGAACCATCGGAACTCTTTATACTGTTGAAGCTGATACAATCCCAGGAAAAGATGGGGCACCTATCAACAAAAGGTGAAAACGAAAGCTGGCCAGCAGCTGCAACTCACAGCCTCACACTGCTCTTCAGTTCGACTGCTCCTGTGCTAATCCAACAGTAAGGGCATTTGTTGGTGTGGCTTGATTTCCCTGAGACAGGGTCTTGCCATGTAGCCCAGGCTAGCTTCAGATTTTTTAAATATGTGAATTAAACATACCTGATTATTGTAATGGCAAATGTCTCTTCAAAAACAATGCTAGGAGCCCCTCTCCATGTGTTCAGTGTGGAGATCTGATCTGTTCTGCTGTGGACTCTCAGCTGGCAATCTCAAAGAGGACAATGCAACTGTAGCTGACTGTGGTTCAATTTGAATGAAGAACTCCTCCTAGGTAAGAGCCCTCCATTTCCACTAGTGAGACCTGAATCCCCTCCCCAGAGCAGAAGTACTTTAGCTACATGGTTTCTGGTTTCTGCTGTAACCAGGCCATTAATTTGGAGACAGTTAACTGGAGCTAAGTGTTCTCGACACCAATGTGACTGACCTGCTGGATTCACATTCCAAGAGACAGTTAATGGCCCTCCCCTCTGTGAAGTGTAGTCCTCTGCTGACCTTTGGTTCTGAGACCAGCCACCTCAGTTGGGTTGTGTCCACACACAGAGTAATGTATTATGTGTGCTTACTGATGTGCCTAGTTTAGAACTTCTGGAGGGAGTCCAGGTTTGACCAAGTGTTGGGGAGACTGGACCCCCCTTTACTTCTTTCTTGGTATACCCAGCAACTGTCACGCTTGCTTCACATACTTAATACAAAAGGATAAGCCAGGTGTGATGGAACATTCCTGTAATCCCAGCATTGAGGAGACCAAGACAGAAGATTGGGAATCATTCTAGGCTACACGGTGAGACTCTTTTCCTCAAAAACAAAACCAGAAGCAAAACCAAAAAATGCAAATGGATATGCACTGTCAGTCAATAACGTGAGCTTTATGGCATGGTACTTCAAGTTCACTCTGTTCCTGCTTCTGAGCAAGTTTATGAAGAGCATGCCTCAGTTCTTCAGAAAGCAAGATTCCACCAAACTAGTTTTCCTCTTTGCATGTAGATGCTTCAACTATATAAAATACATGTCAATTTTAGGTTCAAAGCTGAGCTGCTGAATCTGCCCCTAAGCAAACCCTAACTTGAGTGAGATGTGCTTAGTCAAATTGAGAACTGTAGCATAGACCTATGATCCTAGCAGGAGTCAGATGTTTAAGGTCAACACCCCCTACAGGATAAGTTCCATGCCAGCCTGGGATACACAAGGCCCTGTCTTAAGGTATGGGGAGATGAGGGAGGGAGGGAATCCCTAAATACATGCTATAACATGGATGAACCATATAAACACTACACTAAGTGAAAGAAGAAAGTCACAGAGAATGCAGATC